CAAATTAGTTACTTCTATTTCCCTATGCAAATAGTTTTTCAAATAGTCAGCATGGGGTAGCTTTCAAAATGCGGCAACCAACCTCTCATGGAGATGCTTGGAGCTCACACGGGGAATGTAGCATTATTTTATAGCCTAGCTAAACGCTCACTGATTTTCTCACGTAGTCAAGCCATGGGATAATGTCATGATGGGCACATTAATTATCTCTAGGGGTTTATAGTCTTTAACTTTGACACTATATGGCAAATAGACTAAACTCACCTATGAAATACTATTATGAGAAGTTAACAGGCTTGCTTACTTGATGGTTAGGTTTACCAAGCTCTGTGCTGTCATTCTTAGCCACAGGAGTAACAGGAATCATTGTCTTAGAGGTAAAATTATATGACTGAAAAACACATTTGGGAGAATGATCACTGTTAACAAAACATGGTGCTTCCTCACATGTTTTATTGGCTGTGAATTTTCATGGTTTAAGCCAGAAAGATCCTCTTACTTCTTCATTAAGTTTTATTTCTCTTTGGTTGACGGAGGTGTGACTTTGGGCAAGGAGAGATTTTTAGTCCTGCTAATTTTCTTTTAAACTCCATGTAGAAAGGAAAATAATGAATTTTTCTAAAGAGTTATTTGCGCATATTTCACTTCAAAGTGACCATCATATTGTTCTACTAGCAACTTCTACAGTGTTGTAAGCAGATGCGTGCAGGCTATCTGTTCCAGCCAGATAAACAGTATGACACAGTTTTTGTCACAGGGGACAAGGTAATTCAATGTGGCCAACATGTTGATGTCTTCAAGCTTTGGTTAATGTGGAAAGCAAAGGTAGGAAAGGACTCTGAAAAAATACAGGTTTATTTCAGAAATTTAACAAACTTCTTTCACTGTTTCAGACTGATAAATATTTGAAAATAAAGATAAAACTAAACTTTAAATTGGAGTGCAGCAGGAAATATTAAGCAGCAGTCTTTAATGGTTATCAAACATTGGAACAGACCGCCCAGGGAAATGGTGGAATTGCTGTCCCTGCAGATATTTAAGAAATGGGTAGACATGGTGCTCAGGGACGTTGTTTAGTCATGGTTTTGGCAGCATTAGGTTGGTGGTTGGACTCGATGATCTTAAAGGTCCCTTCCAACCTAGATAATTCTATGATTGCTAGTTTCATCCACATTAGAAATTATATGGCTGTGGGGTTCAGCTCCCCTCTGCAGAGTTATTTGAATTAAGTGTTCTCTTTAAAATATAACCTGCAGGTTCCCTATCACCCTAATGGTGAAGCTAAACATGCTGCTTAACACTTAGCAAGTGTCTTTCCTCTACCTGGTCTCTTTAACAGCTCAGAGATCCTAAAGCAGTTTAAAGTACAAGTCAAACTTGTAAGTGGTGAAGGACAGGTGAACTGAGTCAAAAACATAGGTCAATGTTATTGAAATCCGGTTTTGGTATGGGACAAGCTTCACAACATTCATCCAGAGTAAACGTGCTTTTTAAAGTATGGAGAAGAGGGCAGCTGTATTCATTTCTCATCATAGATATAAGTTGGTGAGGGAGCCAACAAAGGAAGGCATCCTGCTGGACCTGTTTGTGAACAGAGAAGGACTTGTGGGTGACGTGACGGTGGGAGGCTGTATTTGGCACAGTGGTCACAAAATGAGAGTTTTCAATTCTTGAAGAAGGATGGGTGGTCAGCAGAACTGCTACCTTAGACTTCTGGAGGGCAGACGTTGGCCTGTTTAGGAGCCTGGTTGACAGAGTCACTTGGGAGGCAGTCCTGAAGGGCAAAGGAGTCCAGGAAGGCTGGACTTTCTTCAAGAAGGAGATTTTAAAGGTGCAGGAGCGGGCTGTCACCATGTGCTGAAAGATGAGCCGGCGGGCAAGACGACCCGCATGGCTGAACAGAGAGCTTTGGCTGCAACTCAGGGGAAAAAAAAAAAGAGAGTTTATGATCTTTGGAAGAAGGGCAGGCAACTCAGGAGGACTACAAGGATGTCATGAGGTTATGCAGGGAGAAAATTAGGGCCAAAGCCCAACTAGAAATTAATCTGGTTATTGCCATAAAAGACAATAAAAAATGTTTCTGTAAATACATTAATAACAAAAGGAGGATGTCCATCCTATATCGGATGCAGAGGGAAACATACTGACCAAGGATAAGGAAAAGTCTGTGGTACTTAATCATAGAATCATAGAATGGTTTAGGCTGGAAGGGACTTTAAAAATCATCGAGTTCCAACCCCCCTGCCATGAGCAGGGACACCTCCCACTAGACCGGGTGGCTCAAAGCCTCATCCAACCTGGACTCAGGCAAAGAAGGCATTCTTCCTACCTTCCTACAAAATTTATGTTTTATGTCACTTTCCTTGAGAGTGTGTTACCAGTTTTCCTGTTCCGAATAGTTATACACACGTGTGGAATTTTAGTTTTATTTAGAATACGGTAGACACTTCTTTGAGTTGGGTAAGCAGAATTATGTCCCGTATGAAATAGTGTACGCTGCATAAAAAGGTTGAAGTTGTAAACATAGGATATAAAATGTGCACGCTTATTTTTTCATACTTTAAACACAAACAACAATGACAAGAACTGTTGTAGCAAGTAAAGTAGATCTTAAAGATGCCAAACCCAACAAAATATAACTGTTGTATGATCCTTTTTGTGCCTAGAAGAGACAAAAATTAGTTTTGCATAGTAATCTATAGTAAGATCAAGGTACATTAAAGTTCTCACTTGTGATTTATAATTTATGAAAACAAGTTGTATGTGTAAGAAAAATCCAGAAATTATTAAGATAGAGAATAAGGCTAAATTCTAAAATAAATAAAACTCTTCTCTATTACCTAAAGGAGGAGACTTGTATTAATCACTAAATGGGAAATAATAGTGTCAGTGAAAAGGCAAAACCAAACAAATAGAGACAC